CTTTCCTTCAGGACCCACTGATGATCTGGAGTTTTGACCAGAAGCTAAGACTGGCAGCTCTTGGACTAAATTCAGTGGATAGACAGAGCTGATGTCTATACTCCCTGCACCAAACTGATGGTCAGAATATTGAAGTACTTCATGGTAAACAGTCTCATAGTAATTGTGCTATATGTTACAATTAGCTAATATAAATTTTTAACATAAACTCACTGGTTTGTACTAACAGTTTTAGGATATAGAAAATGGGCATTCTGTTGTGACATTTGAGAAACATTGATGACATAGTTTGGCCTGTGTTACCGAAGGGACTGTGGCTAACAAAACACAAATTGCTTTAGGAGAATCACTAGCTTACAATAATTTTGTTAGCACATTGGAAGAAATTAAAGTTTCATACATTAAATATTTGAAAACTTAAAACTCCCAAAAATGTTATCAAAGTGAGAATAAAGCAATAAAAAAGACTTAGAAGATAGTATTGGAATTTTTAGCACTATATAATAAAATATATTTAAACATTTTCACAAAAGTATTTACTAGAACTTTTAAAGGAATAATATTGATATGGACATGGGTACTATGGACCTGTTTGTTACAAAACATAGGTGTACCACAATGAGAAAACATAATCAAGGCAATACATTTTAAATCATCCTCAAAGAAGCTTCATTTGCTTCACATAAAAGTGTTTTAATATTTTGCTTACTCTTACCATCTGCAACAGCATGGATGGACCTAGAGGGTATTCTGCTAAGTGAAATAAGTCAGAGAAAGACCAATACCATATGATTTCACTTATATGTGGAATCTAAAGAACAATATAAATGAACAAACAAAACAGAAACAGGCTCTTAGCTACAGAGAACAGACTAATGGTTAATAGAGGGGAGGGGACTTGGGGGACTGGGTGAAAAAGGTGAAGGGATTAATTAATAATTACAGAATAGTCATGGGGATATAAAGTAACAAAATAGTCATGGGGGTAAAAAGTAACAAAATAGTCATGGGGTATAAAGTACAGCTTAGGGAGTAGAGGCAGTAATATTGTAATAACTATGTATGGTGCCAGGTGGGTACTGGAAATAGTGAGGGAAGAAGCACATTGTAAAGTATGTGATTGTCTCACCATTATGCTGTACACCTGAAATGAATATAAAATAATACTGAATGTAAACTGTAATTGAAAAAAATAAAAAAATTGCTTAAAATACAAATGTCAAGATTTTGAAGATAATGGTTTTTGTTGAGCTTATGGCAGTTGGAATCACATTGAATACAATGTATTGAACTTTGGAGGGCCAAAAATATTATATTTCATTGAAAAATATTTCCACAATATTTTCATTGAGATTTTACAACAATTTTTAAAAAGTTATTGGATTTTGTACAAAAATGCCATTGTAATGCTAGAAAGAATCTGGAGTTTTAGCCAAAAGTTTGGGAAAAAAATTGAAGGTTTGAATTTGCCACTAAGTTATCAAATTTAATTAATTTTAGATAAAGCAATAGTAGTATAAGATCTAAGTCAAGTAATTAATATTTTTCTCAATAAACTATTTATTGTCACATAGCAAATATTAACTGTGTCCTGGCTGGTGTGGCTCAGTTGGTTGGAGCATTGTCCCGAAGGGTCATGGATTTGATTTCCAGTCAGGGCACATACCCAGGTTGCAGGTTTGATCCTTGGTTGGGGCGTTTAAGGGAGGCAATTGATTGATTTTTCTTCCTCTCCATCTCACTTCCTCCTTCCTCTCTAAAATCAGTGGAAATGTCCTTAGGTGAGGATTTAAAAAAAAAAAATCAGCTGCAATTTAAATAATGAAAAGTGAATCTTGATGGACAGCTTGAAGTGCTGGAGCTGTGAAAGCAGTTTGGGCCCTAGCAGGTTTGCTCAGTGGTTAGATCGTGGGCCCACCAACTGTAGGGTTGAGGGTTCAATTCCATCAAGGGCACGTACTCCTGATGTGGTGTGTGTGTGTGTGTGTGTGTGTGTGTGTGTGTGTGTGTGTGTAAGAGAGAGAGAGAGAGAGAGAGAGAGAGAGAGAGAAGGAGGCAGGGAGGGAGGGAGGGAGGGAAGGAGAGAGAATTGTCAATTTGATTTTAAACATACAGAGTTTGATTTGCTAGCAATTGATCAAACAGGAGAGATCTCATAAGCAGACCTGGTACTTAGAGATGAGTTAGGCTTAGAAGAGTGTGAAGTTATCATCTATAAGAGTAGATGTGATTTCCAAGGGAGAAAATAGAGAAAGAAACCAGGTTTAAGGGAAGACCCTGGGAGTGAGGGAGTCACCCATGTCTAAGGGTGGGAAGGAGGAGAAGCAGTCAGGAAACAGGACACTCAGTGGTTCAAGAAGTAGATGATTGCCCAGCTGGCATGGCTCAGTGGTTGAGCGTTGACCTATGAACCAGGAGGTCACAGTATGATTCCCGGTCAGGGCATATGCCCTCGTTGCAGGCTTGATCCCCAGTGTGGGGCTTACGGGAGGTAGCCAATCAATGATTCTCTCTCATCATTGATTTTGCTATCTCTCTCTCCCTCTCCCTTCCTCTCTGAAATCAACAAAAAAATATTTTTTAAAAAAGAAGTAGATGGTTGAATTAAGTAGATTATTCCTTTGGTAAGCTTTGTGGCATACTGGTTAGGATGAAAGTTTGTATGTTGCTGCAGAAATTCCAAAAATCAATATCATAAACCAGATGAAGTTCAGGTGACAGCATATCTTATTGCTTCACTCCCCTAGGGGTGGTGCTGTGATCCAGAGAATCCAGTATGGCTCATCACCATTCTTCAGTTGGGCATGCCTTTCCTTTTAATGCAGAACCTGAAAGTTAAACACATTACTTCTGCTCATGTCCCATTTATTGGCTACAACCTAGTCTATGACCACACATTTGAAATGAGGCTCAGAAATGTAGTTTTATTATGGAAAGTTATGTGCTGGCTAAAAATCACAATTACCCTGGAGGAAGGGAGAGGAGGGAATACGGTAAACTTCTGGGCTTGGACAAAGATGAAGAGTAAGGAGCAATGGAAATATAATTGGAGAAGCCAGGCTTCATCATGGTTGTTAATATTGTTAACCTAAAAACAAAAGGCCTTTCAAAGCGGGAGGCAAACAGCATTTATTTAGATCAATAAGAATAGCTTTTCGGGCACACTGATTCAGGCAAAGCCCAAATAGTGTTCCAACTAGGAGACAAAGGCATTGGATATTTATGAGAAGGGGAAGGGGAACAATTACTCAACAGAAGGAAGGCATTTCTGTTGGTGCAGTTTAATTAACAGTGATATTAATTCTAAACAATATTTTAAATTTTCAGTCCAGTAGTTATATCAGTCTACTTTTTTGTGATCTTTGTAAAAAATTTTTTTGCAAGGTTGCTTAGGCTCAGTCCAAAGGTTATTTTGCCCTGTTTTAAAACATTCCAGTGATTTGAGGTATGTCATGCAAGGCAGTTCCTCTGGCATGGCAGCTCTGGCTGCATTTTAAAGTGACTCTGTATATATTGTTTCAATATATAGCAGATGTATGCTGAACTGGGCAGACCAGGGAAAATGGCTCTCAGCAGATATAGGCCTTCTATGTTTTTGAGGCAGAAGCTCTTCAGAAGGAAGGGAAGGAGGGTAGGAAAAGGAAGGCATGCAGGAGTTGGCCTGACTCCCAGGGAAGAATTCAGGAGGCTTTTTCCACTTTGGGGATCAGAGATCAGAGAATGCCCAAGAGACACCCAAGGCATGACTGCTCGGGTCAGCAAGGGTACCTGAGAAACAGCACCAGTAGAATATCTATCTGTCTATCACTTATCTAGCTGTTGATAGAGCAAGGAATTAGCGTATATGATCCATAAGGTGGGCAAGCAGACTAGAAATTCTTGGATGGAGGAAGGAGGCAGTCCACAGGAAGTATTTATTCTCCCTCAGGGAAACCTCAGTTCTGCTCTTAGGGCTTTCAGCTGATTGGATGAGGCTCACTCACATTATTGAAAATGATCGTTTAAAATTAAAGTAACTGACTGTAGATGTTAACTACATCTACAAAATACCTTCACAGCAGCACCTAGATGAGTGTTTGAACAACTGGGTACTCCATCCTAACCTAGTTGACACATAAAACTCACTGTTATACTGCTTAACCCAAATTCCAAAGCCTGGGCATAGGATGTTGACATCACCTGATACAAGTCTAGGAATAAGATGTTGGATCTGAGAGGTACCAAACAGATTTTATTTTCTCTTTTCTGTGTTGGAACTGCTTTTTTAATTTTAATTTATTTTTTAATGCCATTTTTGGTTACATCTTCTGATCTTTTTGTCAAGTTAAAAAAAGAGTACATAAAGTTTAATAAAACAAAATCCTTATTCTACCAAATAGAATCAACATTGCTAACAGATCACTTACAGACAAGGTTTGGTGCTTAAACGTACTTAAGAACTCCTTGTATTAATTTCTTCACTTCCCTGGATCCATCAGGATTCTCTCAATTGTACATGACAAAACAACAACAAAAACCCAAACAAAACAAACATCCCTGGCTGGTGTGCGCAGTGGTTAGAGCGTTGGCCAGTGCACCAGAGGGTCTCGAGTTTGATTTCTGGTCAAGGGCACGTACCTGGGTTGCAGGTTCAATCCCCAGTCCCAGTGAGGTGCCTGCATGAGGCAACCAATTGATGTGTCTCTCTCACATTGATGTTTTTTTCTCTCTTTCCCCCTCCCTCCCACTCTCTTAAAAAAAAATAAATGGAAAAAATATTCTGGGGTGAGGATTAAAACAAAACAAACAAAAAAACAATAGTTTGAATAGGTTTGAGGAAAAAAAAACTCTGGAATTATTTAGCTCACATAGATCTAAACAAAGATTGATCTAATTTTCTAAGGGCTTAGAAGATGTCAGACCCAATTTCTCTCCATCTATTTTCTGCTGTCTTTTGAATACAGGCCCCTCCTCAGAGTGACCTTCAAAAGTCCCAGGCTTCATAGTTTAAAGTCTAGCAGAAGGAGAGCTTTTGTCCTCCACACAGTTCTTACGAAAGCCCCGGAATTGAGTTTAATCAAATTGACTTAGGCCAAGTGTTCGTTCCTGAACCATCACTGTGACCATAGGGGACAGAACAAATTGGCCATTAGTCTCATCCAAATCACGTGGATTGAGAATGTCCCAGGGGAGGTTGTATCTATGATGGAAAAATCAGGCTGCTACTTACAGAAGAGAGAGGAATGAATGCTGGGTGGCCAAAAAGAATGCATCCTCCCCTCCCGCCACACACACACACACCTGTCTGCAGCTTGCCACTGTGGAAAGAACATTGGATATAGAGTCCAACAGGCTCCCATTCCCATTCTGTTCCCATTCTGGCTCAAATATTTAATAGTCAACTTGATCTATTTAAAATATCTGAGTTTCAGTTTTTTGTTTGTTTTTTTTTCAAATTAAAGAGTCACATTTATTGCAATCCGGGACTATGAGGGGCCATTCCCCAAATCTCATAGTAGTAAGATGGTCGAAAAACTAGACTTATATAGGCAAAGATCACAAAGGTATTGATTACATCCCAAGGTTTGGAATGAGGAACCTGGTTTGCAAAAAAAGCAGTTTACAGAAGCAGAAGCAGCATGTTATCTAAATTACAGTTTTGGGTCTCGGGGTCACTGAATTGACAGAAACACATTATCTAGAGCCCTCGGGTCTGGAATGAGGAACCTGGTCAGACTTAAGCATGTTATCTCAATTACAGTTTTTGGGTCTCCGGAACACTGAGTCAACAGGGACACGTTAACTGGAGCCCTCTGACCTTGGGATAACTGTGCTGTCCTTCCCAGGTAAAGGAAAATGTGTTTTCTAAGACCAGTATGACCACAACCAATGGGATATTCACACTACAATCAATAGGGTATTCAATCGAATGGGGGTGATTTATATAATTCAGAAAATCAAAATAACTTTTCTATTATTTTAGCAAACAAATAAGTACAGAAACCAAACAGCAGGGTTAAAGTTAAACTATAGTTTCTACCTGAGATGATTGCTACCATACTTCATTCCCCACTGGTTTTATGTACCTGAGTCAAATCTTGGTGAGTTTCAGTTTTTTAATCTGTCAAAGAGAGGTGATGATATGCAGTTGTGGTGAAGATTAAGTGAAATGACCCATGTGAAAGCACCTTCGGAAAATGCCTGGTCTGGAAAGTCTAATGTTTGCTACTTTCCTTTTTGTTATTAACTGAAGCTTCTTTGTAGCATCCAAAGGCAAATTCGCCTTTCTTGCAAGGAAAAGTTACGATAAGAATACGTAATCATTACACTAGCTACCCCTTACTGAGTGTTTCCTGTTACCACTTGTGCTGTTAGGCAGGGCCAACCGCCTGGTATGGCTATGCAGACTGTGCTGCCCAGTTCCCCTAGGGCCAGTCACACAGAATCTAATGAGGATGGCGCCACCTGGGGGTGGCAGTGCAGCAGTCCATGCCCTAATTCATTCCTCACGCTGACACTGAAGAAGGTACTATTAACCCCATTTTACAAAGAACTTTGTAACTTAGGTTAAGGAACTTTGCCAAGGGTCTTTGAGCATCAAATAACATGGACAAATGGAAGCCACACACTTCGGGGACACTTTACTGTGGCATTTATAAAGAAATAATCTCAAGATACAGAATTACAACCTCTTTGGTTAAGTTTATTCCCACGTCTCTCTTTTGTTGTTGTTGCAATGGTAAATGGGAGTTTTTTTAGTTTCTCTTTCTGAGAGTTCATTATTGGTGTGTGAAAATGCTCTGTATTTCCATTTCACGGTAACAACTTCATCAGTGGCTGACCCTCCTGGAAGCCCAGTGGCCGCCAGCCAGCTCCAGGCTGAATGCATCTCTACTTCCTCCAGGGCGGCAGAAGCTGTCCCAGAGCCTCCTCTCCCCTCACTGGTGTGTTGTTGGGCCTAGGAGCCTGCACAGGTGGGTTGCATCCAGCCAGGCTCCCTCAACGGGGGTGGCGGTCAATGCCTTATCATCCTTGGGCTGCAGCAGAATTCCTGAGGGAACCTGGGGTGTCTTTGGCAGTAGAGACGCTGGGGGACATCCAAGAGGGGAGGAAATGCCAGAGGGGTGTCTTTTCTTGAGGCCGCTGGCTTCTCCAGCAAGGAGTCCTTCTCCTTGCGGGGGAGGGGTGGTGGTACCTGGGGGCAGGTACAGGTGGGGGGGGGAGGGTGCACAGGCCCAGCTGCTTTATCTACAGACCGTCCATTGGCTCTCCCTCAGCCCCGTGATTGGCTCTTCTCCACAGCACATGTGGCCCAAGCCTGTGTCCTCATTCCCTCCTCTGGATAATAGGCATCAGTTGCCTTTTCTCTCATTTGAGTGAGATGTAGGGGCATGGGGTGGGGAGGAGAGGGGGTTAGGTCTGTCTGCCCCTTTAAGAGAAGCTCCCAGCTGCAGCTCAGTGAGGGCCAGTGTTTCCCCCTAGGTCGCTTAGCACACTGGCCTGAGATGGTGCTATACCCCAGTGTTGTAAAGCCTTTCCCCTGACCGCTCTCCCCATCTGAGTGTGCTGTCCCCACTCTGGGACTCGCCAAGGGGCCTAGTGAAACTGGGGCGTAGAGGAGATTCCGCCCAGGGTTCCCTGTCCTCCCCTCCACCACACGTCAGTGGCATCTCTCCAAACCCCAGACCTGTCAGCTGTTCCCTGTCTTAGAGTCTGGTGCCCAGGCGCTGGGACCAGGGCTGGCCAAACCGTCCTGCTGGGACCCCTCCATTCTTCTCTTTGCACAATTCTTCTGTACCCGTGCAGTTCCCAGAATTTGCTAACCTTTTCCTGGTCTCTCCCGCCCTCCCCCCCACCATCCCAATCCATACCCTGTACACCTCTGAAGACCCCCTCTCTGCTACACTTCTCTCCTCCTCACCATGGCCAGCACTATGCCCTGGGACTGGTGCACGGGGCTCAGTGAGTGCTGCTGGTGACAAGGTGCCACTGCACTACACAGAGCAAAGGGCCAGGGTAGGGACGCTTCTGGGAAGGGTGCAAGGGCATTCCAGGTGCAGTGTTCGCCTGTGCAAAGGGCGGTAGGGAAATCACAGGAGATATCCCGAGCTCATTTCCTCCCTGGGCTTTAATTACTGGACGTGTATATAGCTCCCGGGAGCAAGGGGAACTCTTGGTGCACGTGACCGAGAAACGTAGGCGGAAAGGAGGGTGATCACTTCTGCTTTTGAATAAGCAAAGAAAGCAGAGAGTGATTTCTGAGGTTTCCCCCCTATAGTTTTGCTTTTATAAGGTGAGAAATTTTAGTCTGTCCCCTGCTTTTCAAAAGAACAAGAAATTCTTAATGTAGTGGCCCTGGGAAATAAAGGGGCAGCTGTGGGACCTTCGCCCCCTGGGGGTGTGGGGCGAGAAGGTCTCAGTACACAGCAGGAAGCTACTGGACAGAAGCTGGGGCCATCGTGATTCCTCTCACCTTCTGCCTAATCGCCACAGCACGTAAGGCTTCTGAACACTTCACCGTGCCTGACGCTGGGCAGGAGCTCCAGTGCATGGTCTCACTTCACCTTCCCACCCAGGAGGTGGTGCAGGTGAGCAAATGCAGACCAGCCGTGAAACGACCAGTCCAGCCCACACAGCCAGGCACCAGGGTGTTGGGGTCCTGAGTCCTGTCCACTCCACTCCACTCCACTCCACTCCACTCCACTCTATTTTCTTTGTTGCTTTGTCCTACTCAGTTAGCCTCCACCTGGATTCTGCCAACAGCCTCCTATCAGGTTGCCTGTTCCTGTTCGCCCTGAGGTGTGGCCACCAACATGCTCTTTATAAAGTCCCTCCCTGGTCTCCATGAGTTTGCACCCAGGGCCCACCCCGCCTGGCTCAGTCTGCTGTTACAGCCACCTGCCTTCAGACTGTCCGCCCAAAGCTTCTCTCGTACCTGCACAGCAGGCCTCTCCCAGGCCAGGGCCTTTGCACAGGCTGCCCCTGCACCTGGAATGCCCTTACTCTTTCTTGTTCATTTGGCAAACCCAAGCCGTTGGTCACCTGCTTGTGAGAGGAGCCCAACAAGACTCCCTAAAGCCACGGCCTCCCTCCTGGATCCTCAGCTGTTTGGGCCACTTTGCTGGTACCAGAGAACCATCTAACTTGTGCGATGACTCGTGTTTAGGTGTCACCACACTTCTTTGACTCCTGCGGAATGCACGCAAGGCTTCACGTTAAAGGAGAATGGAGGTCACCCCGCAGGCAGGAGCCTTTCCTCGTCACAATTACAGAAGTGTAGGAATAAATGTGTGTTGTAATGAAGCCACTAAATGTGTAAAGATTTGTTTGGCAGCGATAGGAAACAAATGCAGGGATAACTACACTGCATTTTTGCCTGATGTGGGTTTAGACTCTAACCTCTCACAAGATGGCATGTCACTGTATTTGCACATCTCTTTTCTTCTCCAGCTGTGAACTTGTCGAGAGTCCGGCCTTGCATCATGTCTCTCTGCCCAGAACAGTGCCTGGCTCAGAAGAAGCGCTCAACTGACCAGCTGACCGATGCTTTTCGATCTTCTTCCTGCACGTCTTTTCTCTGAGCAATGGCAAGATGTTCTCTAGCTTTATTCTGGGTATCCTGGTAGTCCCTAGTTCAGGGCTGAACAGTCATATGTGTTGAGTAGAGACAGGGAAAGGGGGAGAGAGTGACTTTTATCTGGAGCCAGGGGCTGTCACATCCATGTCCCAGGGGACCTCTGCCCTCTGCCTGGTCCACCCTGGCATGGCACACCCCCCCCCTGGATGAAGCAGACCCAGTACTGGCACACTTCTCTTTGATAACATTGCTCGAAGACTCACAGCACTGGGCGAGCAGAGACACAAGCTTTCAGTAAGGCTGCTGGGCCTTAAATCATGCCTCTGATTGGAAGGAAGTGTCCTTGCTGGTGAAAAGCCTCATGTTTGGCTGGAATCTGAAGCTTCAACTACTCTATCCAGCACACGTATTTTTCCTGTGCTCCATGCCAATGGAGATTACTGCTGAGTTTCTAATGCTGCAGGGTGGGCGTGGCCTCCCATAGGATGCTGCAACTATGCCTGAGTTATCCAGTTGTCCTCTCAGTGACAGCTGACCACTTCCTCCCAGGGCTCCTCTGTGTAGCCTGGACCAGCCTTCTGCATGAGACGGGTGTGCTTCCCAACTTGGCTGTTATCCGTAATGTCTCTCAAGGAGCCCAAATGCCTCTCAAGAGGCTTGGGGCCACGTCTGCCACAAGGAGGCGGGCTCCTGCACTTTGTCTAATGTTCCCAAGCTCCCACAGGGCAATGCAAAGCTCACCTTCTAAACAACCACCACCCTGGAGTTTGGTGCCAGAGCCCAGAGCAATCGAGTGGGAGGTCAGATCCTTCCCCTTTGAATAACAACTGGAAGAATAAACTGAAATGTCCATCTCTTGATGATTTGTTTAAGAAATTATGCTACATCTATGGCTGCTTTAGATATAGCGTTGAATGAAAGAAGAATGGATTAGAACCATGTTATATATGTAAAAATAAAAGAACATGCATATATATTCCTTTGTAATGTATCTATTCCCTTAGCTCAGTATTTTTCTTCAAGAAAATCTGGTGGGATACACCAGGAGTTGGCAAAGCTTTCCTTTGAAGGGCTGGGGAGTAAATATTCTAGGCTTTGTGGGCCAGAGGTCTCTACTGCAGCCCCTCAGCTCTGCTGTTGCTGCATGAAAGCCCCACAGACAATCCAGAAGTGATGAGCACGACTGTGTGCCGATAAAACATTATTTACAAAAACAGCTGGTGGGTGGGATTTGTAGTAAACAAAAACGTTGAAGTTTGGAGAGAAAAATACCTAAGAGATAGTTAAGAAGGGACTCAGCACTATAAACCCTTGGCACTTGCCAGGCATGCAGGGCTTCCCTCACTGAAATGAACTAAATCACCTTGTCAGGAGGCATCCACGGCCCAGACTGCTTGAGTCCTCCCCTTCGGCAGGAGTATCAAGGTCATCCCAAGAGAAAGTGGCTGTGGTGGGGGAAGGTTGGAGTATCAATTAGGAAGTCTTGGGCTGCACGTAAAATTTATTGCCACAATTAGCATCTGACAAGAAGTCCCATGGCTGGTTCATTTGGTGGCTGTGCCACAAATCTTGGGTCTTTTCCTCCCGTGGGGCAACTGCAGCATTTTCTCTCCAGTCTGTCCTCACTGCAAGACAGCGACTGCAGTCCCAGGGGCTCACAGACTTGAAAAGACAGCAGAAGAAGAGCCCATCTCTCCCTCTACAGCTTTTTAAAAGAGAAAACCTTTCCCAAAGCCCCTCTGTGGGTACCCCTCTGTGTCTCTTCGGCTGGGATTGTGCCACATGGCTGTGATAAACTAACCCTGGGCAAGGACATGGGATTGCTACGACTGGTTCAATCGAGGCAGGATCTACCAATGAGCGGGGGCAGGGTTCAAGTCGCTGTATACAAGAAGAATAGGGCAATGACTATAAGGGCACACTCAGCTGGGTTTGCTAGAGCTGGCAAATAAGTGGAGTGACTTGACTCTACACCCCAGTACCTCTTCCTCTTGGCAACCCCTAGACAGGCCCAGGATGAACAACTGGAGCCATTCGGGTAGTAGCTCTCTTTAAGAAACACTTTCAGGTGAAGGGGGTGGACCCTTTGAAAGATTTTGGGTTTTGGCTGAGCGGCCATTCTCTTATGGTTAAACTCATGGCATCTCCCTGGCTCTGAACTGGCCAGCAAACTGTTGACAGCCTCCATTTCTGACTGCACTGGACTCTCCTGGTTCCTGCTGCTACTGGGCTAAGTCAGCTTCTGTGACCTGAGCTCCTACAGAACCTCCTGCCCATCTGCTCCTGTTTGTTCTCACCTTACTCATCTACGTGGGGCTGTGGAAAGGATGTTCTTAAAGGGGTTCCTTGCCTGAAGCCATGCTGCTGAGGCATACAGGCCAGATCGTTGGTATGGCATCTGAGGGCTTCTGTGATTGGCCTCATCTCCTTCGCTTGCCATCCTCCTGTGCTTCAACCGTCCCGCAAATGGGACCACCTCCTGGCCCTCATCTGCCTCAGACATCCTGGCCCCTGGCCTTGCTCCTGATGCTCTGCTGGCTGGTCATACCCCACTCTGGAGATGCTCAGCACATCCTGGGCACAGGAACCCCTTCTTCAAATGAAACTGACATGGATTTGCAATATGAAAAACAAGATGAAGGTGATCATTTATTGGTAAAATTTCGCAAGTTCAAATTCAAAGCATTTGCTCATTATAAAGTCAATCAGAGAGAACAATGATGCTTTCTTTAAGAACACACACTGAACGGGGGTGTGCTTGACAGCTGCAGTCTTCTCTCAGCCTCAGCATCCAGATCACTTCCCTTTTAGGTCCCATTGCTCAGTGTCAAACAATTCTGCTTCATAAAGAGAAGAACTAGCAAACAGCCAAAGTTTTCTAAGAGCCCTCCATGTGCTATTGGGATAGCATCCAGTTAATGTGAAAAAGGATCGATAGGAAAATGTTGTTTCAAAGATGAATCTCTACCAATATGTAACAACAGGAGGGCAGAAGTGTCTAGTTTTGAATTACAAATGTGAAAGTCAGTCAAGAAACACCAGGGTTTAAGAAAACGCTAATGCAAACCATTGTTTGTTTCAGCATGCCATATGGAGGAGCCAAAAGGCTGGGTCTGGGAAATTAAGAGCTATCTCAAACCACATCCACATCTCTCCCTAGAATCCCAAGGGATTGCACTGAAGCCCTGGGTTGTTCTGGGCACCATGCTTTGGGAAATGCTGAGTGCAACAGTAATGATAATAATAATAATGGCAGCTAATAAATGTTTACTGTTTTAGTATCTTACACACACCTTGGTCAGCGTTTTCTCACTCAATCCTCACATCAACCCTATAAGGCATTTTTCTTCCCATTCTGTATATGAGGAAAATAAGGCATTATTAGAAAGGTTATATTGCCCCAGATCACACAGCTAGCTAAGTAGCAGAGTTGGGACTAAAGCTTAGATCTGAAACCCAATGTATCTAGAAATGTGTCATGACACGCTAGCAAGGCCTCCTTGATCCAGGGAAATGTGACAGCTTCTATGTTTAAATAGGAGCAGGTGCAGGGGTCCCATTAAGAGGAGCTCCTCAACCATGAACACCACCAGCCAGTACAGCCCTTACTGGGAAGAACTGCTCTGCCTTTTTGGCGGGAAAAATAATCCATGGATTAGAAGACCCTCCATCAGGGAGAAGAATGAACTCATTTAACTCAGATTCCTGGAAATGCTCAGAGACCAAGCCCTCAGACTGAGAATTGCTACTCTGTGTGGGTCACCCAAAGACCTCTATGTGCCAGGCACTGCAGTGGGCTCTTGGGTACAACTGCAGACAGACAGACATGGCTCCTGCCCTGTCTAGCCCACTAGGGGACAACCTACCTTGGGTCTAACTGGCCCCCCCTTCATGGTGGCAGAAGTAGGCTTCCAACTGGCTCATATCCATGGACCCATCTCTCCTGCCTGGTTTAACAGCTAGAACCTGGGGACATGGAATAGAGGTCACAAAAGTCACACAACTCTATATCAGAGAAGAGCTATACTCATCTAAGAATGTCTGCCTGTGGCAAAGTTCTAGGGAATTTACTAACCACTCCTACTTAAGAGAGCCCGTGTAAGGTGAAACTTTGGAGAAGGTGTCAAAGATCAGGGATCAAAATGCATTCTTTGAATCTACTGTGCTTCCAGAAGTATAGAAGGTAAATAAAATAGATGGATTTCCCTGGTGTTGTTTAAATGTCATCCCCAAAATGTATTTCGAGAGTGGCTGTTTTCTAACTATGCTCAATTGTGGGCTGAAGCAGGAGGTTCCATCGTCCCCCTTCAACCTTGGGGACGATAGTGCAAAGACTGGGCCCAAGAGGGCAGCCGGCTGCCAAAGGAGTATGCTTCCTCTTCTTATTCCAGAGACTGGTCAGTGCCTGGGTTGGGTGGTGTAGGCCAGGTGTGTTCAGCCAGGACCAGCCTGTGGAAGGCCTTGTGTGTCTGAGAACTAGTCAAGGGCAGCTTGGGTAGGTCCAATCCAGGAACCTCTGTACCAACCCAAGAGCGGACCATGGCTACAGAACCCTGTATCTCCTTCACTGGCTCAGACCCAGCCCAGGGTGGAATTTCTCTGCTCACTGTGGTTGGCTTGAGTGTCTGGGCTCTTAGGAACTTGTAGTCAGTCCACTGCTAGCCCTTTTTTGGACAATGTTTCTGTAGCAGAAGAGTATTCTGCATGAGAATAGACAGTTTTTATAAGACTGAAGCCAGAACAGAGTACAAAGATATGTCTTCCTTCACATCACTATTTTGAGATCATTTCCCTGCTTAGAGACTAGGTCCAAAGTCCTTGGTCTTCCAAATGTTGGTCATTTAGCTATGATCTACCTTTCTAGCCTTTATAGCAAAGGCAGTGGTCCAGGCAACCTGGCCCAGCTCTGGCCTTCACTCAGATATCTGTGATCTTGCTATCAAATTGCACACATGGGACTGCTTCCTCCTCATCCTCCAAGGCTCTGATGAAGGCCTGCTTCTTGGCAATGCTGTCCTTGAGTCCCCAGCAGAGTGAGATTCCTCTACCCCCTGCACTTCTGTGGCTCTCACCCTGTACTCCTCTTGTGACATCACCACATTCAGTCTTTGTAATGTCTTGTCCACCCTAACCAAGTGGGGTCCCTGAGGGTGGACTCTGCACACTCCCCCTCACAGTGTCCAGCACAAGCTGCTTTGCACATGGGCCACTATGCATGCAAAGCACATGTATGGATGCCCATGAGCTCTCTCCATTCCTAAGGTCTCCTTTGCAGACATAACTGAAGGTTCTATAGCAATGCTGACCTCAGTGGTCCTTGCCTTCTTCCACCAAATCTGAAGGCGGGGGGATGAGGTCTCGAGGATTCATTCTGGCCACCAGGCAGACATCATAGTTGTCATGCATGAGGACATTGACGGCTACCACATTCCACTGATTTTCCCATGGGTCCAACTCCAATATTTCTTTGGAGATAATCTCATGGCGATCTGAAAAACAGCAAAGTGGGAAGATAAAATATTATAGGGGTATTAAATTCAGAGTTCATAATCACTGATTAAATAACTTTCTCTAAAAGACCAAAAATTAACAAAAAAACAATCAAGGTACAAATAGAAGACACAATTTTCCTGACATTTAAGGAACTATGAAAGGCCAAGTTACAACTGACATTAAAAATTTATTCAAGATGCACAGATTGTCTAAAGTTGAAAGGATGTTCCACTGTTATGTTAATGATTTATTGATGCTGTGGGCAAGAGACGAAACTGTTCTATTTCTACACCTGTGAAAGGAGGTATAGCTGGAGTCATATGACCTGTGGGAGTCATTGACCTCCTTGAGCTTATGTTTTCTTTCTTTTTTAAAATAAAATATTTTTATTGATTTCAGAGAGGAAGGGGGTGGGGAGAGAGAGAGAGAGAGAGAGA